CCTTCCCTTCCCTTCTCTTCTATTCTCTTTTCTTTTCTTTTCTCTTTTCTTTTCTCTATTCTAATCTCTCCTCAGTCTCATCAATTAATGATGTTGTATTTAAGATTTTGATTCATCTGCAACCCTATACATTTATCAATATTTCGCCCTGTGCGTCGAGCACGTTGTAATGCGCATATTTTTTTCTATTAAATCGTTTTTGATGTTTATTTGTGCTTTGGTATTAAGTTTGGCGAGTATTGGTTGTTGCGATTGACTTATTAGGGCCACTTGTGAGTATTGACAGAATAATTGAGTCTTAAGTGATTGGTTGGAAAGACAATCCTAAACTGGGTCTCGACTCGCTATTATTCTTTCTTGAGCAGGAACCATTTATTCTTATAGATAAGAAGAAATATTTATACAATATTTACACTTAATTGAGAGACTTAAGCATTGAGAGGGTTTTGATCGGCCTAGAAGAAAGAGACGATCCAACCAGTATTTACTTGATTGTGGTTTTAATTGCGATTACTCTATGCGTCTTGTCTCACTCGCTCTCTCTCCTTCGCTCTCTTAATACAAACAGACAAAAGCTTGTCTCATGGCATTCAATTTCGAAGGGAAAGTTGGTTGGAAGGAATTCGTGACGTGGTCTCACTGGAAGCCGAAGGAGGATTGTCGCGTAAGAAAGGCTGTTGAATTGTGCGAACAAGTGCCTGGCTCACCGTCCTGCGACTCCGATGAACCGGTGCTACGCTTTCGTCTGTACCACCGTGACAAACATCATCCGAACAAGATTCAATACTTTACGAGATGGAGCAAACTCCCCTCGAGGACAGCGTCAGCAAGAATGTTCGAGTGAGGCTAACTGATAACAGGCCCAGAGGAGTTCGCTGTTATCTTCTGGTGGGATCAACCTTGGAAAATCACATTACACACTTTCACTCGAAATAGATGTGGTCTCAACAGCTTTACATCAAGTCACACCTCGAACATCAACATTTTTCGCATATTCCATTCTTTAGCATTAACGATGCACGAATGGGTGGTAACCTCTCGAACCCACCATTAGCTTCAGCCGGCTTCTAACTTGACTCATCATTACGCATACTTGCCAGCAAACTGGAGTAGGTCTCTCGCGCTACACGACATGACATGATCAAGCCAATCTGATTACTGCGAATCTCTTTCGGCTGGGCCTACGGAGCCATATTCTGAAGGACCACTACCTTCTCCACCGTTCCCTGCCTGTGGACGAGACGAGGCATCAGCGATTATTACTCTTTGCATGCTCCTCTAATTTAAGGCATTTTGGCGAGTTCATCATCGTATTACATTGCATATAGTTTCCGGCCTAGATGGCCTCATGAGCTTTTTTAAGATAAACTTGATATGCAAAGAAAGATTGGCTTTCGAGAAATCTCTTGTTTCATAATTGTTGGGCTTACTTCCATCTCGAGTAAATGTGTTTCGTGGATAGATTCGAAGGTC